TTAGTGATCAGTGGTCCCATCCTTCTTCTCTCTCTTCCTATCTCTCTCTCCTTTCTCCCAAGTGCCAACTCACAGCCGCCCATCGTCCTTCTCTCTCCCCCCCATCTCTCTCCCTTTCTCCCAACTCAACCACCCTGACATGGGCATCTTATGATGCTTCCTCGTTCCTATTAAAAATATCTAAATTAAATGCTTTTAAAATTTATCATAAAAATATAATCATTTACTTTGAAAAAAGGTTAACACGATTTTAGTTTTTGAATTTTCACTCTATTTCAATTTATGTCTTGGAAGTGATGTTGTTTTAGGAACTAAAAACACTATTTCAAAAATCAAAAAAATGTTAAACTAATCAAATTAAATTAAATTGGGCAGTGCATAGATGATATTGGGTGCACCAAAGAATTTCTCCAGCTTAGCCCCACTTGCTGCCAGAGTTGGAAAGTGGTTTGTTAGATTGAAATATTCTCTCCAATCTTTTTTTTTTTTTAATATAAACTTCAATTTTTTAACTGGATTGCATAAGCTACACTTTGAAAATGTCTAAATATTTAATAAACGTTTTTAATTAACTATATGTCTCTTTTATCTCAGTTTTTCTTTACTCATTCTCTCTTTCACTCACTCTCCATGAATAATAATATCTTAAAATATTTTTTTATATTTATTATTTTTAATCAATTTTAACTACTTTTGATATTTAATACTATGACTTGAAAATTTATATATTTATAAGTTAGTACTATGACTTGGAAATAAAATTTAAAAAAAAAACATCTTCCCTATAAGCATGACAGGGGGAGTATAGCTCGGTTTTTGCCTTGTAATTGATTAAAGCCTAAACATAAATTGGTAATTGTAATGAAACTTCTTAGTTCTTAGTATGTATTACTACATTCTAACAAAAGAAACATTTTATTAATACTAAAAAATGAATACAAAGTATCCAAAAGAAAATAGAACAGTAACAACCGTAAACCAAAAAAAAAAAAACAATCCAAAATACAAACAGAGCAACAAAAAAAACAGAGAAAAAAGAACCAAAAAAACAAGGAAAAATTGGAAATAAATCTCTAATTGAGAATTTAATTGGTAAATGATACCTAAGAATTTTGTACAACTTAACATTTTTAGTGTACAACTTAACTCCCCTTATGTGCAATCATGTTTCCTCGTGTCACATTTTCTCTTCATGAAACTAAACTTCTTATGTGTGCAACCAATCTTCCCTTATATGCAAGTTATCATTCTTTTGTATAAATTAACCTCTTGTATCTGAATAATATTTTGTGCAAATAATTTTTTCTATATGCAACTCAACTTCCCTTATATGCATTTTATTTTTCTTTGTGCAACCCATTGTTCTAGGAACTATTTGCTAATTAATTTTCTAATGAGGAATTCATTACCAATTTTGCCCAAGAACAAAACTAATCTTCGAAAAATGTATTACTACATTTTAAAATATATTAGTTCACATCAAATGTTCTTGAGAAAACTGAGATAAATCTTCATTTGAAAAATTTACTGAGGATTGGTCCCTAGAACTTTGTGAACAAGCCCAATCCTTCAAGATAGATAAATTTGCTCATAAAATGGTCAACAGTGCCCTTAGCGTACATGTACACGTACAACTCGTAGATCTCGTTTATTTAATAACATCTCCCATGGTAATCACCATTCCAATGTAAGTATATATTTTCAGATTTTAGTATAATATAATCATGTCTGATTAATTACACTTATGTAATTAATCTCTTGGAAATCTGGTCCTTGCTAAAGATATAAAACCCAATCCCAAGGACAACCATTTTACCAATAAATTCAGTACATCTTTCTTATATAAAATGTTAAAAAAATAGGCCACACTATGCATAATTTGCGAGGAACAAAAAACTGAACTAAACACTAAATTGATTGGGATAATAAGTTAATAGTAAGTGAGTTAAATTAGGGTCAACTCAAGGTTAAACCAATCATATTAAAATAATATCATTTAATTGAAAATAGCAAAATACAATAACATTAACAATTACTAACAATAAAATACAATGAAATACAATAATAGTTTGATCATAACAATAATAAAGTAGAATAATATTGAGAATTTTGATCTTTATAATTCTTTAATAATTAAAATTAATAATAATTGATATCAAAATTATTATTAAAATTTATTCAAATTTATAATGATTGATGTATTAGGAGTTGAATAAGAAAAAATAAAACCAATATCAATATAATCATCCAAACTAGTTTACATTGGTTTTCACCAGTTCAACTTCTGGCCAGTTCAGTACTCAAACCAAATTGGATTACTGGCTGGTTCATTGATTTTTTGATTAGAAAAATAATAAATTCCTTGAAAGTATTTACATTTATCATTTTTATTCAAACTAATTTGTCTCACTTAAAAATTATATATAATCTGACAAGGTATATAAGTATTTTAGAGATATTATGTGACACATACTATAATTAAGTAATTTAATAACTTTCTCAGTTTTTTCAAATGATTCAACTGGTTCTTATATGGTTGTCTTATCTTCCTTTCCAATCCTGTTACTTCTTTTTCTTGAATTGGATGCAAAAGGCAGGAGGTCAATTATGAATTAAACTAATGGGATTTACTCTCTTTGATCTGCCCGTCTGAAATAAAAACAAGCGTATTATGTTATTGACAAAAAAGAATTGGCCTCATAGCAGTGGAGTGGTTTTCATTTTGTATTTCCCTTTCTCAGATCTCTGATCCATCTCTGAAAAAAAAGGAAGATTGTTGTTGAGCTCTGTGACATCAATGCTACTCGTGGGGCCCGCTTAGCTACCTCTGGAATTTTAGGCATTCTCAAGAAAACAGGAAGGGACACAGTTAAGGTGGGAGAGAAGCAAAAGTCAGTGATAGCAATGGATGGAGGATTATTTCAACACTACACGAAATTTCGCACAAGCTTGGAGAATACTCTCAAGGAATTATTGGGAGATGAAGTAGCCGATACCATTGTCATTGAGCACTCGAATGATGGCTCGGGCATTGGAGCAGCCCTTCTAGTAGCATCTCACTGTCAATATTTGGGAGTGGATGACTTTTGAAAATAAGGTTAATCCCACGCAGAAGAAGTGCAAAAGTTTCACTTTGTGTACCATTGAACCAGTAAGTCTATACTCCAGATTGGGGCTATCTATGGTGCTCGCTAGTTTTATTCTGTAGCCATTGATGCTGCTCCTTTACAGGTGGCTTTGCCAACACTGCTTTGTTGCAGGGACCCATTTTAGTTGTGTAGAAAAGAGTATCAGAATCTTCTTTGTTGTAACTCTCCTAATAAGACTTTAAAGAGGGAAAGAAGATTGGATATTGACAATACTTGGCAGCATCATTTTAATTATAATAATAATAACAACGACAATAATGCCGATAATGATGATGATGGTAATAGCCCTGTTTGTACATGAAAGTCCTGATTCACTCCAGCTGCTATCAAGAACTACCCAGTGTATAGTTCACATCTCTCGCTTTATTCTTGAACATAATGAACAATAATTAACAATAATTAATCTAGCTAGTAGTATTGCAGTACACATCACCCAAAGCCTGAACACGCGGCATATGTCAGCCAGTCTTCAGGACTCCTTTCTTCATAAGGAAATGGGTCCCTGCAACGAAGCAGTGTTTGCAGAACCTTCTTCATGGAAGGCCTATTGGCTGGTTGTATTTCAGTACACTTCATGCCAAGCTTGAACACACGGCATATTTCATCCATATAGCATGCTTCCTTGATTTCTTCATCTAGAACTTCTTCTACATCTCCACCCGACTGCACATGGCGACGTACCCAATCTGCGAGAGATGAGTGTTCATCTCCATAATTTGCTTCTTTTCCAGTTGTTAGTTCCAGCAACACCACCCAAAGCTATACACATCGATCATTTCATTGATTTTGCTTGTTTCAATATATTCTGCATTTCAAAGTGAAAATTCATGTTAGACTGAATCCTATATATGCATAGAAAAACATAAATGAGATATAAATATGGTGCAAGTAATTCACCTGGAGCAATATAGCCAAATGATCTAGCTGCACCTGGCATGGTGATGAGTTCGCTTGGCTTGATCAGTAATCTTGCTAGACCAAAGTCTGCGACTTTTGCATTGAATTTCAAATCCAAAAGGATGTTACTTGTTTTAACATCACGATGAATGACCGGAGGGGAGCAATCATTGTGCATATAGGTCAGACCTTCGGCAGCTCCTATGGCTATCTCCAATCTTTTTGGCCAATCAAGGACAATGTTATGGTTTAACCTATTCTTCTTGCTTAACCAGCGGTCAAGGCTATTGTTTTCTAGATATTCATACACAAGCATCAAAGAATCCTCGCTTGAAATACAACACAACAGCTTCACAATATTGTTGTGACGAATGTTGCTCAAAATCTTAACTTCTGTTAGGAATGCATCCTTAAGTTTATGCTCCCACTTCTTGTTGTCCATTATTTTCTTCACAGCAACATAGCCTAAACCATCTATAGGGACTTGATATACTGTACCAAACCCACCTCCGCCTATAATATTGCCATCTGTCAGTGATGATACAATGTTCATTCCACTAAAACTAAACCTGTGAAAGGAAGTCAACTTCCATGAAGTATCCAGTTCTTGCTTTCTTGATTTGTATACTCTAATAATTAAGAGTAAACTCAAGAAGGTTGCTAAAGAGGCCATTATCACTAGGCCTATGATCAAAGCAAGAGACACAAATGATCTGTTGCTTGATCCTTGAAGGTCAGAACCAGAATTGCACAAGGGAAGGTTTAGCCTTTTGGTATCAGCACAGAGACCAGAATTGTTTAGAAAGCTGTCAAAATAGACAATGTTTTCAAATTCCCTAGGAATCTTCCCTGTGAAAAAATTTGAGGAGAGATTGAGGTTTGTGAGGGTCATTGACAATTTATCAAGTTGAGGTGGAACATGACCAGAGAGCTGATTATTTGATAAATCTAGTTGTTCTAAGACAGGTAAACCATCAAAAGAATATGGGATTTGTCCAGAAAATTGATTGTGACTCAAATTTAGAGCATTGAGAGATTTCCAAGATATGATTTCTGATGGAAGTGGCCCTGTTAGCTGGTTTTGATCAAGCAACAGTTTTGTTAGCTTAGGAAGAGTCATAAGCGCTTGGGGAATACTTCCATTGAAGAAATTCTTACTAGCTTTAAACTCGATCAGATTCTTCCAGGTAGATACTCCTGCTGGAATTCTACCAAAGAATTGATTGTTGTTGATGGACAAACTTGAAAGATTCCAAGCTAATCTTTCAGGGAGCTTGCCGGTGAACTTGTTGTTGCTGACCGTTAAAGTCATCAAATTTTGTGATGTCCAAAGACCGCTAGGGATTTTGCCGGAAAAACTATTATTATCAAGAAACAAGTGCTGCAAGCTATTGCAGCTCCCTAGTGATTCTGATAGCTCCCCGCTTAGATTGTTGTCATAAGCACGTACACCAACTAACTTGCCATTGTAACATAAATCGTCTGGCAATTTTCCTGTCAATCTATTGGACGAAACCTGAAAGGTTTCAAGTGGTGAATAACGACCGAAGTAAGGAGGAAGAGTGCCTGATAGATGGTTTTGGAAAACCATGAAGTCTACTAGAGCTGGAAGATGAGCAAGGCTTTCAGGTATCTCTCCTGATAGTTGATTCATATCCAAACTCAAGCCTGTTAGCTTTTTGAGCTTTCCTAAACCATATGGGATTTTTCCAGTAAGCATATTGCATGAAACATCGAGTATAGTCAGATTTAAAGCTTCAATTTTTGCAGGTATTTCCCCAGATAGCCTGTTTTTTCAAAGATACAGTTTGCTAAGATTCTTTAGAGCAAACAAACCACTGGGGATTTGCCCACTTAAGCCATTCTGTGATAAATCCAATTCCACCAAACTGACCAGTTCTCCAATACTTTCTGGAATTTTCCCAATCAAATTCTCATTTCCCCACAAGTGTAACAATTCAAGATTAGACAGGTCACCTATTTCATCTGGATACTGCCGCTAAATTCACACCAGTGAAGTTGAAGACTTCTCAGCTCCTTCAACCTTCCGATGCTGGCAGGAATGTTGCCGGAGAATTCATTGGTGCCAGGATTAAGGAAACGCAGGTTGGCCAATCGGTCAATGTCATTTGGAATCAGACCTGAAAAGTTGTTCTGGGAGAGGTCAAGGTACTCAAGCTTGGAGCAATTGTAGAGAAAGTTCGGGAACTCCCCAAGGAAATAATTAAGCTGAAAATCAATAAAGGTGAGATTTTTCAGGTCACAGAGGAAAGGAGGTATCGTTTTGGTGATGTTCAAGCCACCAAAATCTAATTTTGTGACAAAATCATCAGTGCAGTTGATGCCAGGCCAAGAACAATGAGAGGAATTCGATGGCGCCCACTGATCAAGGAATGGATGAAGGTGTTGTTTCACGTTTAGCAGGACTGCATGTTCTTGATCATAGAGATGAGATTTATTAGTCCTAGCATCACTCAGAACAATAAACAGGAAACAGTAGAAGAAGAAAATGGAGTGTAAGTAATGTGGCATTTTGGCAGGCAATTGGGTTTGCTTACAAGTTCTTGTTTTACTCCCCAGATTATTGTTCCAAGAAGATGAAGATATAAGGGATGCACCTCCAGTTTACGGTCCTCGAACTTGCCTGACAATTTGGAAAATAGAGCCAAGGCCGTTAGAGTGGCCCCGTACTGGAAAGTGAAAGATAAACCAAAGTCCAAAACCATCATTAATTACTTGATTGATGATGACTGGTGAATCGATAATGGCCCTTATAAGCATATCTCCTGTTGAACGAACAAGTGCAGAGAGAGGGTAAATCCTTTGAAGGTTAAGATAACATGGAGTTTTTATATTTGTTATTGATATGGAGAGATCGAAGGGAATCTCATCTCAGCACTCCCAAATTTGACTTGAAGGGTTCAGACCCACGTGGAATCAAATTGTAGGGAATTATTTAATGATGGTACGTGAATTTTTTTTTAATTTAGGTGAATTGAGTCCTCATCACAATTAGGGTATTGCTTAAAAACTCAAAAAATACTTACAAAAATATTTATATATAACTCATAAATGAGTAAGATTATAAGCTGACTATTCATACGAAGGAACTTGGAATTCGTGTTTGATGACAACGAATGAGTGAGGCCCACATTACTGTTAAAAAGTCAAGTACGGAAGGACCAGGAGCACGCCTTTGTTAAAGCTGAAGGCGTCACGTTTGAGAAATTTCCACCGTGAAAAAGGACAAAAGATGTCGACGTTTTTGGGTTTGGTTTTTTTTTTTTTTTCCGGGGAGGGGGGGGGGGCAGTGGAAAACCTTGACTTAACGCAAAAAGCCAACAAGTCAACAATCCATTAGTTGTTCCTCGGCTGCAAATTTTGTGCGTTCGTTTTTGAATATGGAACTAATTAAATACTATACTAAAGAATTGAATAATTTGAAGTGATTGAAAAAATTAATAAATTATTTTAAAATATTTATATTAATTTTTTTAAACTAATTTATCTTACTTATAGATTAATATATAATCTAATAAAACAGATAAGTATTTTAGAGATATTATGTGATATATATTATAATTAAGTAATTTAATAACTTTTTTTTAATTTTTTTAATTATTTAACTGATTCTTATATTAATTATTAAGAACCAGAAGTAGTAGTTTTTATTTTAAATATAAGATTTTAATCTGTTGTATGATTTTATCTTTTATTTTAGTGATTTTTCTTAAATTAATTTATTTAATTTATAAATTGGTAGATAATATAATGTTACATTAGAGTATTTTAGGGAGATCATGCCAATTTGCTAGTTAGTATTACATTTTTCTAAAAACTAATAAATTGACTGGAAAATTGTTTAAACATCTCCCTGTATGTCATATTTTAAGCTACGCAAACAGTTAAAAATATGTTGTACACATCTAAAGTATAGTTGGTTGACCAAAAAAAAATCTAAAGAATAGTTGGGGCTAAAAATATATTGTAATTAGCTTTTTAAACAAATTTCAAATACATAAATGGGGAGTTTGTTTTAACAATTTTCTTAAATTAATCAAAGAATGATATCTAAAGCGTTCCCTTTTTAATAAATAATATGATTTTCCCCCCTTATTCTGGCTCTAAATAAAGCATTCAATGGTAAGGAAGACTCTTAATTTCTTAATCCATCAATCTGATTTTTCAAAACTCAGGAGCAAGGCTGATTAATCCGAAGAATCGTGCATGAGAATTATGGAAGAAAATTAATTATTTTGAAAACATAATGAATTTAAAATTTACAAAGAATGATCAATATCTTTGTAAAATCCAAATGGACAAAATTTCCCCTGTAATTAGTAACATGGCTGTAAACTTTATAAGTTAGATTGTAAATTTCGGAAGATTAACTGTAATTTTTAAAAGATTACTTGCAGATCAGTTTGTAAATTATGAAATGGTTGCAAGTAATATAATACCATTAGCTAATAGTGGATTTGGAAGCCGCCCTTATAAGTTGTGATATTTAACGAGGTCATCTAGCTTAACTAAATAATATTACTTTAATTAATATTTAATTTACTATCAATTAAATTAGTTTTAACTAAATAGAAGAACATATTTGAAATTGATTTTATCCAAAATGAACATATCTTATTGAATTAAATTATTATAAGTGATTGAAAAACATTCCTAACATCTATCGTAATTTCATCATGAATGGATTCATTGATATTGTAATTTAAAAAATTAAGCAAATATATCCTCAAATAAGTCCAATCAAACTATTTATAAGGGAATATAAAACTCTTCAGATTTTAAATTATATTATAAAATGACTTTTATATTTAGAACTGAAAGAAGATATTAGATATGTTTTGTTTGGGAATTGATTGATATCGATAAACTTGGATTCTCTCCACTACCCTTCCCATCCTCTTCTCTTCCACTATCCTCTTTTTTTCTTAACAACTATTGGATCAAAACTCCAAGGGTCCACATTTAATATTTTATAACATTTTATAAAAATAAATATTATTACCAAAAATATATAAATAAATTTAAACTGTTAAAATTTGATTTAATTAGTTCATAGTTGCAGACTGTAATTATAGAACAATTTTTTTAATTTTTGTATTATGAACTGTTCATATCAAATTTGAACAATTTAAACTTATTTATTTTTTAATAACATTATTTTTATAAAATGTTAAATCTGAACCATTAGAATTTTAATCTAATAATTATGAAGGGAAAAAAAAGTAATTGAGGGAAAGAAGATCGAAAGAGTAGTGGAGAGAATCCAAAGAGCGAGGCATTATTTTTCTCTATTGCAATTAAATGATTATGATAAATCTGCTCCTGAACAAGACCGCTGTTAGCTTAACCCCACTTGCTGCCAGAGTTGGAAATTGGTTTGTTAGATTGCAATATTCTTTCCAATCTTTTTTTTAAAAAAAAGAAATATAAACTTCAATTTTTTTTAAGTGGATTGTATAAGTTACCCTTTCAAAATGTCTAAATATTTAATATATTTTTTAATTAATTATATGACTCAGAAATAAAATTTAAAAAATCATCTTCCTTATAATATAACAGGAGAACTATAGCTCGGTTTTTGCCTTGTAATTGATTAAAGCCTCAACATAAAGTGGTAATTGTAATGAAACTTCTTAGTTCTTAGCATGTATTACTAGATTCTAACAAAAGCAAAATTTTATTAAGACTAAAAAATGAATACAAAGTATCCCAAAAAAATAGAACAGTAGCAATTCCAAATACAGAGAAAAAAGAAGAAAAAGAACCGCCTTCGGATTCCTCATGCGTTTGATGACAGCGAACCCAGATGAGCGAAGCCCACAAGTTTGTTAGAAGTCACGTGGGGAAGGAGCACGCCTTCGTTGAAGGCATCACGTTTTAGAAATTTCCACCGTGGAAAAGAAGACATAAGATGTCGACGTAAGGGGAGGCAGTGGAAGACCTTGACTTCCGCAAAAAGCCAGCAACCCATTTGTTATTCCTCAGCTGCATATTTTCTGTGTTCGTTTTCACTCATAGTTTTTGAATATCGGAACTAATTAAATGCTACTATACTTAAGAATTGAATAATTTGGAGTGGTTAAAAAAATAATAAATACTTTAAAGTAATTTATATTTATTATTTTTATTTGAACTAATTTGTCTCACTTATAAATTAATATATAATCTAATAAGATATATAAGTACTTTAGAGATATTATGTGACACATGTTATAATTAAGTAATTTAATAATTTTCTTAACTTTTTCAAATGATTCGATAGGTTCTTATATTAACTATTAAGAACCGGAGGTCGTTGTTTTTATCTTAAACCTAAGATTTTATCTTTTATTTCTATTATTTTTCTCAAATTAATTTATTTAATTTATAAATTGGTAGATAACATAATATTATATTGGAGTATTTTAAGAAGATCATGTCAATTTGTTAGTTAAATAACTATTAGGAATATTAAATTTTTCTAAAGACTAATAAATTGATTGGAAAATTGTTTAAACATCTCCTATTGCAAAATTTATTGTCCCAATAGCATTTCGAAATTCAGGTTTTTGAGTGAGTACAACTTTTCTTCAGTTGTGTGTAACATTTTAAATTATGCATAAAGTTAAAAATATGTTGCAATTAGCTTTTTAAAAAAATTTCAAATACATAAATGAAGAGTTTTTGTTTTAAACAATTTTCTTAAATGAATCAAACGATGATACCTAAAGTGTTCCCTTTTTAATAAATAATATGATTTTTCCTCTTATTCTGTCTCTAAATAAAGCATTCGATGATAAGGAAGA